CACATGTAAATATGATTTTGTGAAAGGTTACAGTGTGTGTGGAGTGGAGGAGATTATCTACTGAGGATTTGAATTCTTTCTTTACAGGTTGCACACAGTTTACAGGTGTGTACAGGTGTGGTCAGAAAAACACTGAAGCGAATTTTAGATAATATGTGACTGCAGACAGTGCCAACGGGAAGATGCACAACTCTGTCTGAGCTTAATTTCATAAATGTGCAGCGCAGAGAGAGAGAAGGAGCAAAAGTGAAGCAAAGCGACAGAAGATAAGTTCTAATACTTAAAGTCTGAGCTGAACATGAACTCACGCAGACACACAACGTGGCTCAGTTTGTTGTTGGCTGGCGAAAGGTACAAGTGACGTATTAAACAACAGATTAGTTCAGCCGTGAAATGAGAAAGTGAGCTCTCCTGTCTGAACACAGGTGAAGTGCTGGGCATCAGCAGCACCTGTTAACAGTGACATTTAGACTGAAATCACTTCATCTCAGACGAGTCACAATAAGCGCTGGACTCACTTTGGAAGGCAAAGTCAAAAACTGGCCTCTTCTTCTTGCATGGAGTTTCATTTTGACACCAAATGTTACACCTGTGATCAACAGCAAACTGAGCCCACAATGCTGATGTATGAAGGAAACAGGCACAGTGAGTTCTTAACACCTTAACACCCTCTGGCCTGTGGGTCTTGTTGCTTCTAATTAATGCTGGGCCCGCCAGACCCTGGACAGCCAGTGGGTATTAAGGGGTTAAAAGAGTACAGTAAGCGGTCTACACTGTACAGTCCATTTTTCCAGTGCTCTGACAGAGCTACAGTTCACTGTAAGAGCACCAAGTTCTCTTGAATGAACCTTAGTTAACTGATAACTCATAGCTAGCAAGCTAGTTTGGCTGTTTTTGTTGGCTAGAAGCAGCCAATTAGCTGATAGCTAATAGCCACAGCTAAAGATAACTACTGCATGACTCCGCAGCCACTGTGGCACCTTCTTCACAGCGACTCTGTGGTGTAGCCCGGTGCTCACACCATCATCACACTTTGTCTTCTCTTTAATTGTTCGTCTTCTTCAATCACAGTGCCACTGATTCAGTTGATTCTTTTATATCAAAACATAATGTTTAATATCGATGTAAGAAGGATCAGACAAAGTGATTAGAGGACCTGATGTGAGTTAATGTTGATGTCGGAGACAAGTTATTGTTCTTTGCCTCTGTGCCACCACAATGGCGTAGCTCTGAATCTGAGTGTCTTAGATTAGCCTATCATTATGTGTGACATGTAATTGTTATAAATAAAAGTTAAAAGAAGACCACCTCTGTTCATTCTGACACTACCCCTGCTCTTTGTATTAGTCTCTTCCAGTCGTAATAGCTCGATGATTACCTTCATTTTCTGCCTAGGGAGGTGACTTTTATCACCTCAGCATTTTGGGAACCTGGAGTCTGACAATCACATATTTCAGAATCCATAAACAATGATTATGAGGGGAAACACTGCAGACTAATACTCATTTTTGTTCTGTTTATACAAGGAGAGAGACTGAGTGACACTCAACTATCCGCTGATGCACAGCAGTTCATTCATACAGCTGCAAACTTTAACATCTGGGTCACCATTGGAAGTGTGCCCTCTGACCTCACTACTGTGATTCCAGACCTGCCTGTTTCACAGGTGCAGCACTATTATAGTCTAAAGAAAGGTAGTCTGGGAACTAAAAGGGCTTATATATCTTTATGTTGGCATTTAATGTATAAAGTGACAGTATAAACTGTGACATGGAAATTCATTATGTGGTCGATGTAAACTCTGAATTCTCCTGAAATGTCACCAAGTCCCGAAATGTGAAGAATCCTGTGTCTCCAGTGAATGCATTAGAAATAACAATCGTCTTTTTTCCCTCAGTCTGGTGTTGTTTGCTCGTGAAGGTCACATCTGAAGTGACTAGCAGCTTTTCCAGTTGTAGTAAACATGTTAGTTTACATACGCGAATAATACATTAGTGAATCCACAAAGTTCATCAGCTATGCACGCAACGCAAACAATTCCAAAGTCGTGCCCCCCGTGCTTATTAGTCTGTTAATCTATTTATGTATTTAATTAAGAATAGAGTGTATGTGTGTGTGTGTGGATGTGTGCTGGCTTTGAAAAGTCATTCAGTTCTTAAAAAATTAACATCAGCTCTAAGTGGGTATACTCATGCATGCAACAATTAAAGTAGATTGTCTGAAGTGCTCGGGCCGACAGAGCACAGCACAGTCTGTTCAAACTGGCTTCTCAAATGCAAATCCCATCTCTCACATATTGTTTTCTGACCCTCGCAGCATCATCCTCCCTCAGTAAAGGTAACTCCCATCTTATCAGCCTGAGGTACAAAGGGGGGCTGCAAATGAGAGTGTCCCATCCTCACTTATCACAGCAAAGATTCATCTTATTCTCTCTAATTAAATTCCGGGCTCGGCCGCAGACGCCTCAATGCAGGGGAAGTGACGAATCCAGACTTCAGAGCGAAAACACAAGAAAGCACTTCATCCAGGGATTCAGCAGCAGCGCTAGGTGTTTTTGATGTCGAACATCACTGACTGACCTGCTTGACAAGTATAATAAACATTAGATTTACTTTAATACAGTTTACTGTTTACTTTCCTCAGACTGTTGGATCCAGTACAGACTGAGTGAAGGGCAAAAGTGTTTTCTCACTCACTACAACTGTATATGTTTGTACTATACCTGAAAACTTTAGTTTTAACCGATTAGATAACCTGCAGGTCTCATATCAGTGCTGACAACCAAAATGAGAGATGATAAATTCAGTAGGACCCTGAAACAAACAAACAAGACTGAACAACTTCCAACTCCCCTGGTTGATGTGTTTGAGTGTCCTTGAGAAAGACTCAGAAACCCCAGACTGGGATGTGACTGTGTGGTAGAAAAGTACCGTCTGAGTGTGTGAGGATGGGTGAATGCAGCTGCCATCTTAAAGCACTCAGAGTGGTCAGTAAGACCAGAGAGGTGCTGTGTAAGTGCAGCCCACTGCCCATTTAGAGGAGACATATTCTGCCCTTTTTCCACAAATTAAAATAGTTCCCAGGTGTCTTAAAGACATGTCTGTGACATGCTTCAGTCAAAATTCCCCAAGGATCAAACATCACAGCAGTCTTCTCATCTGCTCAAAGCAGCCCCTTTAAACTCAGTGTCAGACTGGGGGACAGGCACAGTCACTACACTGTGTGGTCCAATGATTTAACCAATGACAACAACAACATACAGTTTTCAACAACTCATTATAAACAATCACGATCAGCTATAAATTGTAATTTAGTTATTTACTCAAATGCTCTAGTACAGGCCAGCCCTGAAAAAATCTGGATTCTACATTTCTCATAATGCAAGTGGATGAATGTTAAATGATGATGAAATCATGAGTTTGGCTATAGCCACATAACATATGTTTACAAGATGAAACGTATTCAAAGTTCTTTCCTTTACTCACCAACGTCTGTCTCCAGATGTAACCGATGTTAACTCAACTACCTCTTCCACTGAAATTGGCATGCTAACCAGCTAGCCCTGGCCCATCTCATCACTTTCTGTAGCCTCCACTCTGTCCTGAAGATGAAGCTCCTCACAGGGCATATCATAACCTCTTGTAAATGTGACAAAGGTTGAAGCTCTCGTCAAGCAACAGTCACCACCCCCTGCTACTGTGAAGAAATCATGTTTGGCCACAGAGAAAATCTACAAGCAGCCACTTCAACAGAGCTAAAGGTAGAACTGTGGGTCAGGCTTGTTTCCAATTTTCCCAGCAGCCAACAGCAGCTATTACAACAAAAATTTAAGCACCACTCCAACTGCAAGGAATGGTTGTAATTAGAGTCCAGGTGTGGTAAATGTACTTGTAACAGTTAGGATTAACCCTGACACTGTCATCAGGGAATTATTTAACTGAGATGTGACAAAGCTCCTCCACAGTCACAGGAGACAGCAGTCACCTCATCTTCACGTTCAAGTGAGGGTAGACTTATTAACAATGGGCCTCCTTGTCTTTGAGTCCCTCTGCTACTCTAAACTGTGTTATGAGCCACTACAGAGTGTGTTTGTCATGAGGAACACAGCACGACACAAAGAGCAGCAACAACGAGCCGACCTCCCTCAGCTGAGGACATCAGAACACTTTAATTGAGGTTTTTTATCAAAATAGCAACGCTGCGTTATTATCTCGCAGCACATTGTACCCGTGCCTCTGATTGTGATCTGCCCAGTGATCACCCATCAGTCTGTGCTGTGCACTTCCTTCACTGCCCTGGAAAGTTACCACAGTGAGTTCATTCAGTCGCACAGAGAGATTCCTCAGAGCTCAGCTGAAGACGGTGTCACTCTGCATGAAAACCTTCATGCAAATGAGTCGTGAAGCCAGAGTTCAATTAAGTCCCTTTCCCCTCTCTTTCAGCACGGAGTGGTAAGTCACGTCCACTCCTGTGTGTCTTGCAATCTTGATATGTAGCCTAAATGATGCCAGTGGTGGAGCAATGTACCGTAGAGGGTGGTGGGGGATTAGAATGTGTGCAGAAGAAAGACGAGTAGTTTGACACCTGTGCTGCTCCTTTCACTTGTGCCCGCAGCACTGCAGAGAGAAAAAGCTGGCAGGGAAATGCACAGGAATCCTCATCCGCCACGTGTTTACTGATCCACTGTGACTCTGACTTAATTAATGAGCTATCTGCTGCAGCACACAGGCTGGAAAATATGAAATAAGCCTAACCTGAACCTTAAAATGTGACCGTGTGACTGCAGCTTATGTAAGAACTGCCTCCCCAGTTAAAGTCCCCATGAAATGAAAAATGACATCTTCACCTTGTTCACTAACCTTCCATGTCAGAATATGCAGCTGTGCTACAGCAAAGGCAAAAAAGAATAGACAAAATGTGCTTTTAACTTTGAATTAATCCCAGAGAGCTGAATTAAAATTCAATTCAATTTTTGAAATTCCATCTTGTTTAAAGGGCCACTCAATGCAGGATTTGAACCAGGGCCACCTGCAATGAGGACTGTGGCCTCAACTCACCAGGCAGCTGCTCTACCAACTGAGCTAAACACCACCCCATTCCTGGAGCTGATTTGCCACCCTGACCCAACCTGCTGCTTGGCTTTGCACCTCAAACTAAATGTCTATCCCTGCAGGTGGTGGGCTCACAAAGAGGTGGCTCCATGTAATTTCTTCAGATTTGCCAGCTAGCTGCCCTCCCAGGTCAAATTTAGGCTCATTCTGCATCGAAAAGAGACAGTTGAGGTGGTTGGAGCATCTGTTCAGGATGCCTGCTGGGTGCTGTTGGAGGTTTTCCAGGCACGCTCAGTCGTTAGGAAGCCTTGAGGTAAAATCCTAACTTGCTGGAAAGATTATATATCCCAGCTGGCCAGGGAACGCCTCAGGATCCCCCCAGGGGAGCATGAAAACGTTGCTGCGGAGAGGGGACGTCTGCTGGACTGCTTTGCTTGACCTGATGGTACTGTGACCTGACCTCTGATAACAAGCAGAATGGATGGATGGACAAGGTAATCTGCTCAGCTGTTGTTATGGGATAGCAGGTGGTCGGATGTGTAATGACCAGTGAGCTGTAGCCATTCACTGATGAAGACCAGGAAATACATAAGAAAGTTTAATAACATATAGTCGTCAAAATTTCACATTTGCCAAATTGAAAGGATTGTAACAAATATTTTGCAAACTAGACTGAACTACAATGAGGAAACCTTAAATTTAAAACTTATTATGAAATAAAGTTATAATCTCATCTTTCTGCCCATCAGATCAAAGTCCCACTTTCCCCGACTGAGTCTCCCTCAGCAGTGAGATGCCTCTGATTCTCCTGCTTCATTCTGCTTTGACTTCATTGACTTCACATTTAACTTTACGTTCAAATCTTATTTTTCAGTGTGGAAATTCAATTTTGGCCAAACCAAAACTGGAGCTCCACTTACTGTACAGGCCTTCTCTGCAGCTTCCACCTGCCTCACATGCTGCTGGTCAGTGGATGGAGTCCACTCAGTCGTCACGCTGTGGCCCTCGTCTGGGCCGAGTGTGGTCACATGATGACAACTGCTCATTCGATGGGGTCACGGTGACTGAACAGGAGTCAGCGGAGGCGTCTGTAACCACCTGTTACCAATGATCAAAGGTCCATACTCACACAGGTCACATGATCCCAACTGAGCAATTACCATGACAACTGAGACATGACAACTCCATCCACTGATGAAAGCCACGAGATACAGAGCACAGTGTGAGGAAAAAAAACAAGTGTCAGTACAGTAAGTGGAACTGGATTTTCATCCTGTTTATTTTAACTTCAGTTAAAGGAAACAGATTGAACAGAATGTATATGTTTCTTTTCTTTTCTTTTCTTTTCTTTTCTTTTCTTGATAAATAAGTACCAGCTTCTGTTTTGTTAATGACATATATTGCTGCCTTACAAAAAAACTAATAACTTAGTTTCAGTTTCATTATTTGACTTATCTCAGGTACCTGCATGTTGTGAGTGGCATCCATGTTTGCTGTTTAATCTGAGGGCACTGGAGCTTTCTGTCATATCATGTCAACACTGGCTCAGAAGCTGAGGGGCAAGGGTCAGACTTCAATTCCATTTGCCTGCTTCACAGCCTCGGGGTGCAGGAGCTCTGAAAATGGACAGGAGAGAGAGAACAATGGCAGCAGAGACCAAGAGGAAACTTCCTAATCAATAATGATGTCTGAAGACACTAATCACCCTTCAATAACAAAAGCATGTGAGTAACAGATTCAAATTAGAGCTTACAAAGCAGTTAATGTCATATTTATTGGAATAATGAAAGTTAATTTGACTACAGTGTGTGTATTGATCTTACTGATTGCTTATTGTGAAGATGTCTGTCACAAACACCTTGTTGGTGTTGCTGTTATTGATGTATGAATGACTTATGACACCTTTCACACTGATTAGCTCATTGACAGCCATTTATTCCCAGCGGTTTTTAGCTGGAGAATCCAAACACTAAGCCGTCAGTCCATTAATCCTCTCACTCATCATGTCTGTCTTCTTCTCTGCTGCCACTTCAGATCACACGTAGAGTGACCGTGCTGTCATGCAGCCTTCCCAGATTTGTCAGTGTCTGTGCAGGCCTGTATGATGCCGTGACTTCACCGTCATTGCCATGGAGACTAATATAAGCAGTTAGCATTATTATTATTAAACTTTTTTTTTCTTTTTTCCTCCCCTGATCCTCTCCAGAAAAGCATCAGGAGTTCTGTAGGTGGGCTGAGCAGCAACATGAGATGTGAGAACTGTGCAGCTAAATATAGAGCGACCACACATCCAGACGCTGTTGATTAGTGGAGCTGTTTAGACTCTTAAGCGGCTGCTTTTATGAAACACTGTGGTGGATGTCTTGGTATTCAGCTCCTCACTGAGATGAGCTTTTCTTGTGTGTGTGTGTGTGTGTGTGTGTGTGTGTGTGTGTGTGTGTTTATATCTGAGAGTGTGTTTTCCTGGAGACGATGGACACTTTTTGCAGTGTTTCCTTTCAGACAGGGAAAAGCAGGATCCCCCCAAGTCCTCTGCGGTGAAGCTTTAAAAGCCTGACAGGAGAGAAAATGACATCAGTGCATTTAAAAAATGAACACGCAAAACACAAAACAACATTAAAGATTCAGAAGTTGATAAAAGCTTTCACATTTTCCTTTTTAATCACTCCACATTCTCTCTAGAGAAAAAAATGGTTTTATTCAACCGATATTCCACAAGTTTAAGAACATGAATTGAGAAATGAGGTGATTAAGAGTTTAGGGATGATGAGAAAGCAAATGATTTATCTGTAATTTCACAAAGACTAACCGTCACTCACATAACCCAGTGAAAATAACGTGAGTGCGTTTTGTTCTCATGTCAACCTGAGATATCACCAACTGTTTCTCATTTCCTTAAAATTCCCTGCATCGGACCAGAGGACTGGTGGCTGAGGTCCAGGCAATGATATAAAAAGTGCAGGATATACACTCCTCTGGGTGGATGTTATTCCCATTTCATTGCTACTTTATATAATGAGTTTGAGGACTTCTCTGGAGGGTTAGTGTGCCGCTCTCATTTCTAATGACAGGAGAGCTCATCAATGTGTTTTCAGCTCCTCTTTTGTAAAAACATTCATTTCCAAATTGTGGGTTCGTGGAGAAGAGGAAGTTCAGATCCATGTTATGAGTCTGGAGCTGTCAGTCATGTCACATGATCTTCATCAGCACAACTTCAGGCTCTGTAAAGAGACACTGGAACATTTGAGTAAAAGCAGAATCTAGATAAATCAAACACAGTGAGACAGTGTATCTGAAACGTCTAGTCAGTTTAAACTGCATGTGACTAATTAACATCTTCAGGTTCCTGTAGTTTTGAATGTTTATTGAAAACCTCTCATCATGGTGACCGTCCTCTGCTGATGCCAGCAGATAAATTCAGCTGTCAGGATCATGTGTCAGTTACATAACCGCCATCCTGCAGCTGCAGGGGATTAACTGCCTTGCTCAAGAGCACTCTGAGGATTGGAGCTGGGGTGTGGAACAGGCGCTTCATATTTGGCAGATGATCCTGTTGTCCACAGAGCTGTTCCTCTTCCTCATCCTTCTGTAGGACCGGATAATCCCCCTGGGGGGCACAGGGCTGGAATGAGCTGTAGGTCCCCACTGACCCACTTGTCCCCTATTTCTCTCTCTCTCTGTACTCTGTGCCTGGTTGAGTGAGGGATAATGAATTAAGGAGGTATAAGTCAAGTGAAGCTGTTTACCTTATCCTATAAGTGTGACTTGTGCCCTGTGGCATCAAGGTCAAGAATAGAGTCCTCTAACTGTTTCTTAAGGACGATAATATGAGCAGTTTCAGCACCACATTTTAGAATAATAACCCGAGTCTCTCATATAAACTTACCATTTGTGTAACAGTAATTGTAAAGGCCCCATTTTGCACAAAAGCCAGATCTGTATGTCTTCTTTGATTATAAAGCAGCTCTAGCTTCTATATTAATACTGTGAGAGCATCAAAGCCGTAGTCCACAGAGAAGTGCACACAGCCTGTATTCAGAAAATGAGACTTAAAATGAGCTGTCAGGACCTCTGCAATTTTGTGATGTCACTTTGTGTCATGAAGTCACCCCTCTCAGCCCTGCCCACTTGGACCCACCATACAACTTTACAGGATCTGACAGTTTCACCTGATATCAGCTTTACTCTGGTAAACCACTTGACCAACAATCAGAAATGAGGCCCACTCCCCTCACCTGTAATCTACCATGCATGAAAAACACAATAACATAAGAACACAGTTGGTCTTTTTGCCCTGGTGCATTGTGGGGGTATTTGGAAGCTCGTACATTTCCGGCTGACTCCAGTATCAGTGTTTGAAAAGTAAACTCCAAGATACACAAAATCTGTTAGAATTTCAAACTGTGTATTAAATGAATCACTGTCACAGTATGACAGTGAAATCAACAAATGAGAGCTTTACTCACAGTCTATACGGCGGGCTCTTGTAATGAAGGGGTCACTTTAAGGTGGATATCTCTCCAGTTTTTATTGAAGAGACAGGATGAGGGAGACATTTTACACTCAAGCTACCATAAGCTTCATTTCCAACTGGTGGGCTGCTGTTTCCTCTGCTCAGTCCGTGCTTTACTCGTTTCCCTAGCTTTGTTATCTATAAATATACTAGATTTCATTCCCTCCTGTTACATGCCATATGAGTCTGCAAAGTGGGTTTGCAGCTCGGAGCCCAGCACCATGGACAGCGCACCTACATGTGCAGCCGAGTCCGCACTGGAGCGCATGCAGGTCTCTTGCTGCTGCTGCTGCTGCTGCTCCTCCTGTTGTACAAACACTGATGTGACCATCTGAGTCCAAGTCAACCCACAGTGTCCATACAGTGAGTAGGAGTGGTCACTGTGGGAGGGGTCGCGTGGTGAGAGGAGGAGGAGGAAGATGAGGAGGAGGGAGAGGAGGGTGTGTGTGTGTGTGTGTGTGTGAGGGGGGTGATGCAGTCACTTTGTGCCCCAGCAGATTTTCACCCTCGGAGGGAAAAGCTCGCAG